TCCTCCTCCTCCTCCTCCTCCTCCTGGGCAAGGGTGGCTGGCATACCAAGTGCCCGGTTTGCCCCCCCCACCACCCCGGCCGCTCGCGCCCCCTTGCTGGAACGCGCCCTCCCCTCCCCCCCCCGCGCGGCGCGCGCGCCCCCGTCGCTGGAACGCGCAGGAGACCAACGATTTTTCCCTGGCCCGACGGGGAGGGGGCGCGGGGAGGCAGGACGTGACTTATGATGAAGGAGGGAGGGACGCGGGCACTGTTCGCTGAACTTTCGGGTGTTCTGATCGAGAGTGGTCTGCGTTAGTCTGAAGCGTCGACAGGCCAGGCGACGCTGACCTGTTAGCTTTCGTGTGTGTGTGTGTGTCGAGGAGGAGGAGGAGGAGGAGGAGGAGGAGGAGGAGGAGGAGGAGGAGGAGGAGGGGGTGGAGGAGGAGGGGAAGGAGGAGGAAGGACAAAGGATCCGACGGAAGGATGAGTGTCAGGATGAGGAAGAGGAGGACATGAGGAGCAGGAGGATGAGGGGGAGTATGAGGATGAGGAGTAGGAGTATGAGGCGCAGTGATGATGAGTAGGAGGGTGAGGACGACGAGAAAGGGTGATGATGTAGATGATGATGACGCTGATGATGATGATGGGGTTGGTGGTGACCTTGAGGACGGTGATGAAGAGGATGTGGATAATGTTGATGTGGCTGATGGTAGTGATGATGGTGATGCTGATGAGCATGATGGTATCGAACATGAGTACAATGCGTACACTGGCGGCAATGATGGCTTTGCTTACAATGGTCATACTGATGTGGATACTCATGCTGGTGTTGGTTATGATGATGTTGGCGATGACGACGACGATGACGATGATTGAGGTTGCTGATGGTGATGCTGCTGGTTCTGATGATGAGGTGGAGGAGGAGAAAGAGGAAGCACAGAGGGAGGAGGAGGATGAAAAAAGAGGAGAGAAGATAGGAGAGAAGATAGGAGAGAACAGGTTTTACCGTTGCCGCACATATCCGCAATCGCACTTGCGAGGGCGGCCTAGCGAGGTTGCAGTGCGGCCATACATGCACCGAATGTGCGACACACCGACTGCACAGCACTGACTGAATCTTCACGCTGTACCACATGCTTCCCCTGTCTAAACAAAGTATTTCGGACCTACCCCCTGGGACTTATCCCCTGTAGATGTGCAAGCTGCATAAGAGTATTCCCCATCTGTCATTCTAAACATGAGTTCATACCATCCCGACAAGTTCAGGTTCGACATCCATACATGCGCGCATTTGTTAAACAGAACTTGCAATACTCCCGTGCAGGCATTGGGACGAAGTGCACACGCGCGCGTCGTCGCGCGCTTGCCGAACTCCATCAACAGTCGTAGTTGTCGTTGGGGTGGGCAATGTCTGTCCCGAGCGCGTCTGGAAAAAACGCATGGTTTCGCAGTCTCAGTTTTCAAACACAGAAGGTCTGCGCGTACGCGCTTGCGAACTTCCAAAGGAGGCCACAGGTTTTCCACATGTCCATCAAGTGCAACCAAACAGGCCTCCCCGTGCGCGCATATGTCGGAGTCGTTCGGACGCCGTTGTCCGCGTGCTGGGGGGGAGGGCGCGATCCCTGTCGACTAATACCATGCGGGACCACTCGCGCACGTCGGCCGCGCGCGCATGTCGAATCTTTCCAATACCTTCATCACCGACACGTGAACACCATCGCCGTCACCGGCTTGATCTGCATCGGCGCCGCGAATGGCCTTTCCGTCGGCATCGTCATCGTCGTCTTTTTCATCGCTGCTATCATCATCGTGTCTGCCGTTATCGATGTCGCCATGATACCGCGCCCGCCCGAGCCACCGACTCGCATATGTGCCCGCGCGTCAGCACGGGCTGCGATACGCGCTGGGAAATGCCCAGCGGTCAGCGCCACCGCGGTCGCGTCGGTCGCGCCAGTCTAGCTGGCCGCTCTGCGCACGAGCCTGCGAGCGCTAGCGCGGCCGCAGCGATGCACCTACCAGCGCCGAGCAGGCATGGCAATCGCAGCCGCATGGGTTTTGCAAGTCAGGCTGTGTTTGGATGTGTATGGGATCATTGCGCGAGGAGTGGCGTTGTCAATGTCAGGTTCGGCTGCGTGAATTGCACCACGCAGATTGCATACCGCGATTTGCAGGCCCGTCTCGCTCATTCGGAGACCGTATCCAGGCGCCTCGACGGACCGTTTTCAGCCACTCATGGGCGCCGTGCCTTCGCGATGGAGCTGCCTTGGGCCGTCTTGGGGCTTCAGTGCCGCTATTTCGGAGCGCGCGGCCGCGGGTCAGCGGGGGAGGGCGGGGGGGTGCACGGGACCTTTCGTCCGTTTATTTGGTGGCCGGGCCCAGCGTTTCTTGGGGAGGCCAACAACAGCGCGGACATGCGTGCCAATATGGGCGTGCATTGGGTTCGATGCGTCCGGGGGGCCCAATGTATTGTTTCACAAGAAGCGACGTCATGAAGCCTTATGGGCCCGACGCATTCTAAGCGCCGCCAGCGCGGTGGCGGACAAGCGGGCGCGTTCGCGCCGTATCTGTCGCCTCCCGCCCATGCCGCATTGTTTTCTGTATCCGCCGACGAAGGTCGGAGCGCACCTGGACCCCCCAAAGGATCCCATCGTTTGTGCGCAGTCAGGAGAAAGGGGACTGCGTGCATTGGAGGAGGAGGGGGAGGAAGAGGAGGAGGAGGAGGAGGTTCAGGAGGAGGTTCAGGAGGAGGATAAGGAGGAGGAGGAGGAGGAAGAGGAGGAAGAGGAGGAGGAGGGAGGGGCGCAGGAGGAGGAGGAGGAGGTGGAAGGGGAGGAACAGTAGCAGGGAGGGCAACGGAACGGGGAGGCAACGAGGAGGAACGACTCGGATCCCGAAAAGTGTCCCGCGATTGGACGGGAACGCCATTCTGAACGACAGGAGCAAGGCTTCAATCCTAAGATGAGGCTCGCTCTGCAACAGGACGACTATTTCCAGACGCCGAAAACGTTCCGAATGAACAAAGCATGCGATGGCCAACTTTTGAAATTCTGTGTGCCACAACGCGCTATACACGGAGAGGGTGGGACACTCTCAGGACGCGGTCGGGGGAGAGGAGGGTCTTCTTCATGTTGTGCTATTGTGGACGAGGGCGAGGACGAGGATGAGGATGAGGACGAGGTGGTGGAGGTAGTAGAGCAGGGGACAGGTGAGGAGAGACATCACGATTGGCAGGGAGTGGCGGAAGAGGAGGAACAGGAGGAGGAGGAGGAGGAGGAGGAGGAGGAGGAGCTGGAAGAGGAACACGAGGAGGAAGGAGGAGGATTGACATCAGTAGGGGGAGCGCCATCCCAGAATTCTTCCGAAGCAGAGGCGTCCAGCTTTTCCACGGTCTCGACCTCCAGATGCACGTGTCGGGATTGCGGCCATCGAACAATGACAGGGGATGAGAGATCGTTCCTGGGGACAACGCCGAGTGTATTGCGGGTTCACGTCACAAGAAAGCATGATTTCGGATGTCACTTTAGCGAATCGGGTACCCGCCGCTTTTTCGATTGTTGAGTTGTGGTAATGTCGTTGGCCGAGCCTTTCGGCACTGGCTGCCTTGCGTCCCCCCAACGTTTCCCCCTGCTTGAGATATAAGCTGTACAGCACGAATTCATGGCGATGACCAGCATGAATGGACATGGCGACCCTGTAACCTTGGTTGAGGACGTGCCCCATTATGAGATCGTCCAGGAAGCTGACTCCGATGTGCCTGAACGAAGATGCCAACGCCCGCAGCGCACCTGCCACATCCTGACATACTCCCATCGTTGAGAAAAGGCTGCCATCGGGCTGCGGCTACCCAGACCCAATGAAACATCCTCGCCTGAATGCCTTCCCGTGCCCCCGTCTCGGGGCTCGACGATGGACTCTGGGACCTCGCTCATGACCGCCACTGGAGCTTCCTCCGCCTGGTGGCTCCTCCGACACAGCTCTGGCGGCATTGAAATTGGCACAGCCCGGGTTTGGCAGTACTGTGACGACACTGTGAACCTGGACGAACCATGACATTCGGCATCGGTATCTCTGGGGCTGACCCCAGCAGGCTGACCGTTCGTTGGCAAGACCCCCTGGGCCCGGCAACGACACGCCCAGAAATGCCTCGCGAGACGGACGAGCTCGACGAGGTCTAACCTGTGCTGTGCAGTCGCTTCGGAGCTGGGACTGCACTTCCCACCCCTCAGGCTCGGACGGATTGCTCGTGGGCGCCTGAGGCTGACAAGAGCTGACCCCCGTACCTGACAGCGCCGCCGCACTGACGGACCAAACGCTGAATCTGCCGACGAATGTTCCGCAAGCAGATCACGTGGATTCTGTCCTTTGTTCGTCCCGAGGTTCGAAGAAGAACACACATCGCAATAAGCATACACTTTTGGCGCTCCGCGCGGATTTCACGGATCCGCGCTGGGCCCCCCTTGGCGGCGCCTCTCGCGCCGCCCCTGGCGCGCTCCGCGCGCCGGGGAGAGGGGGCCAGCGCGGTTCCAAGGAATCCCCGCGGAGCGCCAACAGTTTACGTGCATGCAGCTTGTTCTTCTTCTAGAGGTGGAGGCACGGCGTCGCCCCGCTCCGCGGCTGCGCCCCCCGCCTCGTCCCACGGAGGAAGGACCCTGGGCGACACCGGTGCCGCTGGCCCCCCGTGCCCCTGAGCCAGCACGGCTGCGTGGACCTCCGCGACCTGGCTGGCAGGTGGCTCGAGGAGCGGCTGGCGGGTCCCTGGCGTGACAGCTGCTGGCGCTGCCGCCACCGTCTGTTGCTGTCGTCTTGGCGCGACGTCAGGTGCTCTGGTCTGCACCTCGCTGGAGGCGACTCCAAAGAGGCCCGACGGGCTGGCCAATACCGCGGATCCAGCCACGCGGGCTTCCACCATGACTTGACTCGACTCGCTTGTGGCCTGCTCAAGACCCTCGCATTTAGAATCAAGTTCCAACTGAAGGTATTCCACATGCTCACGTAATGTCGGCGCCTCCTTCTCCTGTGCTTTTTGCGTGTGCAAGGGCCTGCGCAACACATCGTCTGGTGTACGGCTGGCCAGTTTGGTTGCTTCCGCATCTGCGTGCTGCTTCTTTACGGGGGCATAGAGAGGACCTGTCTCATCCAAGCCGATTCTCTGCGTAAGGCTGCCCATGCCGTTCGCTCTTGGGCCACCTCGTCAACATTTGCACCTTGCCCCTCAGAGGATAACCCGTCCGATGCTGCATCGGGCCAGCCTCTGTCACGCGAACCTCCTCGATGGCTTCCTGGTAGCTGATCCAGTTCTGGTGCGCGAGCTCCTCGGCGTCGGCTGACCGCTGGGGCCAGGCTGACCTGTCTTGCCTCGTCCGCGCAAGCAGCGTTCGGGAGTGCCATGCAAGTTACGAGTGGAACCACACTGCCAGGCAGCATGACAAGCCCACCTGCGCTTACGACCTCGCTCAGCATTACGTTTGCCACGACTTCTGGTCATCGAGAACAAGAGAACCCCTAACCTCAGGAAGGCATTAAGAACCCCCCCTGGGTTATTCTTAGCACCCGGTTTTCTCAATATTCCAGGCGGGCAGTTTTAGCCGAACGATACACTTAGCACCCGCCGCACACAGAAAACAAAATCCACCATCGGCGGCCGCCCCACTAACGCCAAGAGAGGGTGTCGTGACGAATGTCAAGGATCTAGCCCACATCTTTGTGCCCTGCTAAGCCTTGCTAAGCCCTGCTTGGCCCTGCTAAACTGCTTGGCAGGAGCAAATCTGCGCTTGGCAGGCCTTAGCTAGGCCCCGAGTCCCCTCAGCCAGGTCTTCCGGTGCGGCCATAACGCTCCAGGGTGCGGGGGCGTTATAATCCACCGGAAAAGGGGGGGGGGGTTCTTAATGCCTTCCTGAGGTTAACCCTGATAGCATAGTGAAGACGTGGCCTCACTGAAGTCCCCATCTTTGCGTTAGGGATGCTAAGTCTGGGCGGCTAGGTTCGAAACATCTGCAGACAAGACCCCCTATGCCTCATGTTTTTGGCCCTCCGAGCTTAGGTCCTTTCCCAAAGGGTTTGGGGTCTTCTTCTGGTTCATCAAATAACGAGGGGACAGTTGAGCCGTGATAATTGCGAATGAGCTGAACGGCACTGTCAAGACGAAGATAGCTTCCGGACCGGCTGCTGCGGCGTCTGGGCCGCCCGTGCCAGGCGTGGGGGGAGGGCGATTTTGACCTGGCAGTGTCTGACGCATGCTTCGGCTGAGCCTCGCGGCCAAGAACGAAGACACACAGACCAACCCGAGTGCTACGTGATCGTTTTCTTATTCGTTGTTTTGCTGATCGGCGCAGGCCCTCGCACCCCCCCTCCCACCCTATGGAGTAGATCCTGGCTGTTTTTGGCGCCCGTTTCAAGCAGGTGGAGTCTCCCCACTGGACGTCCTGTTGCAAACAGTCGCGCTAAGCATAGGTCCAGAGCCAGACCCCCCCCCTTCCGCTCAATGTCGAAACGCCGAATAAGAAAACGTTCACCAGGTCCACTAGCCCACCGTGCTGGCTGGCTAGAGGCACTCCAGCTACGTTTGGCCCGAGGTACGAGATCGAGGTGGGTTCGGGGGGGGTACCCTGAGATGTTTCGTGCTTGTTGGATGTCTTCGTGCATCCTGGGAGAGGGTACCCTCGAATGATTGTAATTTTGGACTGCGGGAGGTCTCATGCTCTTGAAGGATGTTGTTCTGTCCTAGGTCCGTCTGTATCGCGACCGCCGAGGTACGTGCTGGGGTCGCGATTGTACCAGGTTGCCCCGACAATGAACGCCTTGGGCCACGACGCCTGGAGGAGGAGCAGAAGGAGGAGGAGGAGGAGGAGGTACAGGAGAATAAGGATGACGACACGCAGGAAGATGAGACAATTAATGATGCTGATAATATTAATCGGCGGCGAGCGAGGGGAAGTGAGAAGGGGCGGGCCTTCTCAGAAGGCTTGAGAGTCCCCTGCCTTCTGAGAAGGAAGTTTTCTGAGCCTTCCTCGAAGACACCGAAATCTTCTCAGAATGCCAGAGGGCTTCTGAGAAGCCCCGCCGCCTTCTGAGAGGACTTTCTCCTCACTTCCCCTCCTCGCTCGCCGCCGAAGTAAGAAGGAGGAGGCGAAGGAGGACGAGGAGGAGGAAGGTCCTCACTAAGAACTTCGACGCCAGGCAGTACGCGCAGGCGCCGACGCCGCCGCGGCGCCCTCGCGCCTCCTTTCGGCGCCGTCCCCCTCGGGCCATGTCCCATCCCCCGATTCCCTTGTCGTCGCTGTCGCCGATGATGACGATGCTGCTGCTGCTGCTGCTGCTGCTGATGATGATGATGATGATGATGATGATGATGGGTCTGATGATGTATTTCCTGATGATGCTGACTACGTCGTCGATGATGATGATTGGTGATGATGATGATGATGATGATGATGATGATGGTGATGATGATGATGTCTGTCGACGGTAATGATCACGATGATGGCGACGACGACAATGGCGACGACGACGATGGTGATAATGATGATGATGATGATGATGATGATGACGATGATGATGATGATGATGGAGATGATGATGACGACGGCGATGACAAACAATCCTACGATGATGATGGTGCTGATGCTGGTTGTGCTGCTGTTTTTGATGATGCTGGTGATGATGCGGATGCTCATGCTGATGCTGCTGATGATAACGATGGCGATGAAGCCGTTATTGAGTTTGATGATGATGAGGAGGAGGAGGCTGAAGATGTTGACGATGCTGATGCTGATGCTGATGACGATGATGACGGCGACGACGACGATCATGCTGAAGTAATAATGGTCATGCTGATGGTGATGGTGATGGCGATTCTGACGATGCTGCTGCTGCTGCTGCTGATGATGATGATGATGATGATGATGATGGTAATGGTGACAGTGTTGTTGATGGCACTGATGGTGATGCTGATGACGATGCTGATGCTGCTAATGATCACGATACTTGTGAGTATGATGATGCTGATGCTGATGAGGATGATGATGATGATGATGGTGCTGCTGCTGCTGCTGATGATGATGATGATGATGATGATGATGGTGATGACCATGGTGATGCGATCGATGCTGATGCTGATGCTGCGGATGATGCTGATGCTGAGGCTGATGATGATGGTGTTGATGATGATGCTGCTGCTGATTATGATGCTGATGCTGATGCTGATGCTGATGCTGATGCTGATGATGATGAGGAGGAGGATAATGATGATGATGATGATGATGATGATGATGATGATGATGATGATGATGATGATTATGATGATGATGATGGTGGTGGTGGTGGTGGTGGTGATGATGATGATGATGATGACGATGATGATGATGACGACGATGATGATGATGCTGATGATGATGCTGATGCTGATAATGATGATGATGATGATGATGATGATGATGATGATGATGATGATGATGATGATGCTGAAGCTGCTGCTGCTGATGATGATGATGATGATGATGATGATGATGAAGATGACGATGATGAGGTTGATGAATGATGACAAGGAGGAGGAGGAGGAGGAGGAGGAGGAGGAAGAGGAGGAGGATAAGGAGATGAGGAGGAGGACGACGAGGGCTTCCGCTGCTTTCTGTGGGCATCGCCTGCCCCCGAGGCCCGAGAGGCGGCCCTCGACTGCCAGACAGAGCCGTCTCCCCTCCCCTCGTCGTCGTCGTCGCCGTCGTCGTGGGAGTAGGAGGAGGAGGTGGAGCAGGAGGAGGAGGAGGAGGAGGAGGACGAGGAGGAGGAGGAGGCGCCCACGTCGCAGGAGGAGGGGGGAGGAGAAGTGGCCCAGAGTCGGTCAACATGGAACGATCCGCCGATAAAAACCAACCATCCACGAAATGTCTGCAAACAACGCCGGGTTCGTCGCGACACGAACTTGTCGTAGTGTTCAGCACTCCGTGAGGCTAACTTTTCCGTGATGGGGCACTGGACTTCCCGACCTTCTCTTGGGGACGGGCTTTCCATCTTCGGCCGTCCGAAACGGCAGGGCGAGTTCGTGGAACGAAGGTCGTCTCGACTTCCTCGTGGCGACCCTGGAAAGAGCTCTTTCTGTGGTCGCTTGTGGCGACCCCCCCGGGACCCCCCCGGGACCCCCCGCCAGGACCCCGCCCCCCCAGGCGCGGTGAAGAGATCCAAGGGAAGGGGTTCTGGACGGCGCGTGTGAGGGAGAGGGCCCAGGCAAATGGAGCAGAAGAGGACGGAGACGACGACTCTAACGGAAGAGCCGCCGCCTCGGACGGAAACGCCCCCCTCACACGCGTTCGAGGGCCTGGGGGCCGGCAAGGCAGCCACACAGGCCGCAGAGACTGCCAACGTTTGTCCGTCGTTTTTTTTTATCGCAGCGCGCGGATGTCGGGACATCCGACCCTGCACCAGACCTCGGGTTATGATGTTCCAACCTTTTTCAGTCTTGGTCACCAGGAAGTATTTGGACCACCAGGAAGGTGCCGAAACTGGAGGGTTTCCACGTGTCGGGCCCTGGGAGGCGATGCTCGTTCGACATTGCTTCGATATTTTTCTGGGTGCTCGAAATTCTTTCTGGGATGTGCTCCTTCAGTACGATGGGGGCAGCGTGAGCCTCGGGGTCGGTCTTGGAGATCGCCCCAGCGATCGCGGCGGCCACAAGTCGGGGCAGGGGGTTTGGCAAGGGGCGGTGTGCCCCCTCCCACCCCCCTCCCCCCTCCTTGCCATGCAGACGTGGCTCGCAAGCATCTTTTGTTGAAACAGATACATAGACATGCCACCTTTTGATTTGAGAAACCACGTGCCCACCATGGGCAGGCCTGTTTTTCTGGGTGCGGGGCCGACTCCCGCGCAGCCCCGGACGGCGCGCCCTCGCGCAGAAGCCTGCCGCGGGCGCTCCCGACCGCAGGCCATCGAGGACCACGTCAGGCAGCTGGCGACGGAGCCGGGCGACGCCAAGGCGGGGCCCGGACCCACTTCCAAATCCGGACGATCTGGCTCGATGCCCGAGTTCGATTGGCCCGATCCGATGCGATCCCAGACACGATCGCGCCGTGGACAAGTAAACGTTGAGCACGCCGCGATCCCAATAGAGCAGCACGTCAGTGAAACCAACACTGGTCTTATTCGGATCGGGCTAGGATGAGGATAGGTCCCTTCCAGAGCGTTCCGGAACGCTCTCAGAGCGTTCTGGAACGCTCTGAGAAGGCCGCGGCGCCCGAGACATCCTCCAGAGCCGCCGGATCTCAGAGATTCTCGATCTATCCCCGCCCGAATTTACTTTCGTCCTGGCTTCGTCTTAACAGTGAAACCAGCACTGGTCCTCTTGGAAGACAGCGTCGCAGAGCCTACCTCCACCAACGCCAGAGGGGGGAGATGCAACACCAACACCGCCAGGGGGGACCAGGGTCCAGGTCCCGTTTCCCTCAGGACCCGCCTCCCGGCGACCACAAAGGGTATGATTGTGTGTGCAAAGTCAGAGCCTTGAATTCGTCATCAACCTCGCCCTTTTCATGGTATGAACAATCGATGAACTTTCTTTCTATCCGCTTCTGCTCCTCGGTGCGCCGCTCGCGCTCCCCTCCCGCTTTTATCCTTCGTCCCCATTTTCAATCCTTGGCCACCCCCTGCCCCCATTATCCGTCATTCGGTTGGCCCCAGAGGTGGCCGTCGAGGTTTTGGTATCAGAACTCCCCAAAACACACCACCACACAAAAAACAAACAAAACAAAAAAGTACCGAGCGGAACATACCAAAACACAACAAGACACAACAACCACACTTTCACGCACACAAGCATGACTAATTTATGGCTCCGACTTTGCACACACAAGTATCATTACGCCCAGGTGTGGCCTGCGATCGGCGCCGTTCGTGCCTGGGGGGCACGACATTTTCCTCGTGGGGTCTCCTCGGGGCGCCAGGGTGCCGGCTGCAAACCGCACCCTCTGCAAACCTCACCCGTCGGAGTCGCCGTGCTTCCGGCATGACGAACTTGCCTGGCGGTTTTCGATTTGCACTATGGTTGACGCCAAGCCGTGTGAAGATCTGTGGTCGCACCACCCTCCTCCAAAAAACTTGCTCGTCGACGAAGGGTCCCGGATCCGGCCCCTCCACCCGCCCAGGGGCGGAGATGAGATCGGCGGGGGGCCCGCGGCCGCTGGCCAGAGTACGTGAGGGCGGCGGCGCTAGCGGCAGCCCTGGCACAGGCACGTGTCCCTCCAGAAGATGGTTGGAGGCAGGAGAATCGAGGAAGCAACGTTTGCATAGACATCTTCGTTCGGTTGGCATAGATTTCTTTGGTCGGCGCTGGGCCTCTCCCTGACGTGCGCTACGCGCGCCAAGAAATTGCTTATGCATCTTTTTGTCCCTCCAGAAACGCATGCGGCGGGCGGACATCACGGTGCCTGCTTCAAGCCCTCGAAATTCTGGGTCGAGGCAGCGTGTTCTTTTTCCAGACAAGGCGGCACCACCACCACCACCACCACCATCAGGCCACCTGCAGCGAGGATGTGCACGACCCTCTCAGAGTTGGAGATTTGAGGTGTGTCTTGAGCGGGACGCCACAGAACAAGGGGACCACACCACCAGGTGGGCCCTGCTTGGCTCTCGCCCCTGGTGGTGGTGGTGGTGGTGCTGTCGCCTCTTCCTGTTTCCACCGTGCAAAGATTATGATTCTGGCGGCGTGCAGGAGGGGGTGGCGCCATGGTGGGGAGGCCTTCAAAGAAGGCATGGGAGCTTCTCAGGCGCCCTCGCGCCATCTAAGATGCCTCTTGACGCAACAGGAGGGACGACGAAGATGACGGCGACGATCGACGACGAAACCCCCAACTCCCTCTCCCTCGTGTTCGCCTCTCGCAGTCGACGACGGATGACGGACACAAAGATGACGACGACGACGACGACGACAAACACGACGCCGACGACGATGACGACGTCGACGAAAACGACGACGGACGACGTTGGCGGCGACCGCGACGACGTCCACGGACGACGACCACGACGACCGACGATCGACGACAGCGACGTTGACGGCCAACGCCACGGCGACGGCGACGGCCACGGCGACGGCGACGGCGACGGCGACGGCGACGGACGACAGACGACCGACGACGGACGACGGACTACGGGCGACGGTCGACGGACGACGGACGACGGCGACGGCGATTTCGACCACGGACGACGACGACGACGGCGACGACGACGACGACAACGACGACGACGATGAAGACGGACGACGGACGACGGACGACAGACTACCAGCGTCCGATGACCGACGACGACCGACAACCGACGATAGACGACCGACGACCGACGACCGACGACCGACGGTCGTCGTCGTGGTTGTTCGTCGTCGTGGTCGTCGTCGTGGCCGTCGTCGTCGTCGTCGTCATCGTCGTCGTCTTCGTCGTCGGTCGACGATTCCATTCAGGTGGTATGCCTTGGTATGCACACCTTCGTGGCGGGCACGCCCGCGCGCGCGCTGGCGCTCTCGGAGATGTTCGGCCGCCTGAAGGACTTTCCCCCGGCGGCGGCCACCACCATCATGCCTGCCATTGCGCTTGGCCGCGCTACGGCAGGATAACGCCGCCTCGACGCGGCGGCGACGAGGAGGAGGGAAAGGTGCGGGCTCTGCCGCCCTTTCCTCGCTTTGTCCTGTCTGGGTCTCCTGGGGGGGCCCTTGCCGCCACGGCTGTACTCTCCTCGAAGTTCTGGTCAGAGCGCATCCTGGGAGAGGTCCAGGGATTCGCGGTATCAGTAATTACATGTCTGTCTCCCCAGACTCTTTGGTGCGGGCGTTCAAGGGTGTGGCGTTGAGGGCCTAACGAAGGTTTGACGATTTCAACTGTCCCTCGACTCACTCTGGAGCGTCCACGACTTGTCCCAGATTTCCATGGAGGTCTCTGGATTTACCTGCCTTCGTGTGGACTTGCATTTTTTGTTTTTTACCAGCCTCGGACGTATCCCTATCCCTAAGATTGACACGCCAGAAGGCGATGACAATCTTAGGGATTCGCCCTCCAAAAAGAAGGGAATCCCTAAGATTGGCATCGTGATGAGGAGATGCCCAGCATAGGGATAGGGATATGTTCCAGGCTGGTGAGTTTTGGGATTTACCGCGGGCTGTCTGGCCCGATGCCCGCAGGGCGATTTGAGCAACGCCGTTGAGCCCTTAGGCGAGCCGTGCTCGGCATCTCAGCTTGCCGCGCACGGCAGGGTCGCGCCGCCGCGACGCGGCTGCGACTTCCTGGCGCAGGCGCTCAACCCTGAGATCTTGGCGTCGCAATCTTTTCACACCGGTCGTCCTCGCTCCACTCCGGGCCCCGGGACTCGGGGGCGGAAAAGAGGGGGGTGATGACTAGGGGGGGGTGGATATCATGGCGGGGGCCATGATATTTCCCCAGATCTCGTGGCGCCTCTTCTTCCCCATATCCTAAGATGGGGTTCTTGTTATTACTTGGACGCCTCCTACTCCCTCTCCCTCCTCCTCTTTCCTCCTCCCCTCCTGTCGGAGTTACTCGTACTCAGACTTGCTCATACCCAGACTTGCTCATACAAAGACTTACTCATACTCAGATACTCTCATACTCAGATCTACTCATACTCAGACCCACTCTTACTCAGACCTACTCATACTCAGACTTACTCATACTCAGACATACTCATACTCATGCATATTCATACTCAGACCTACTCATACTCAGACTTACTCATACACAGTATTACTCATACACAGACTTACTCATACCCAGACGTACACATACACAGACTTTCTCATACACAGACCTACTCATACCCAGACTTACTCATACACAGACTTACGCATACACAGACTTACTCATACTCAGGCATACTCATACTCAGACCCACTCATACTCAGACTTACTCAACACACATCAGATTTGGAGGATGTCTCAAGCGGGGCGCTGGTTTCAGCACCCCTAAGGGGGGCCGCCAGGGGTGTTTGCACGGGCTCGTTCGCGGCCATTTTGTGGGGATGTCTCAGGCGGTTTGCTTGTTTCTGGGCTCAACATCCTTCGCTTGGAGAGCAGATTGTGAGGATGTCTCAGGCGGGGCGCTGGTTCCAGCACCCCTAAGGGGAGCCGCCAGGGGTGTTTGCACGGGCTCGTTCGCGGCCATTTTGTGGGGATGTCTCAGGCGGTTTGCTTGTTTCTGGGCTCAACATCCTTCGCTTGGAGAGCAGATTGTGAGGATGTCTCAGGCGGGGCGCTGGTTTCAGCACCCCTAAGGGGAGCCGCCAGGGGTGGTTGCACGGGCTCGTTCGCGGCCATTTTGTGGGGATGTCTCAGGCGGTTTGCTTGTTTCTGGGCTCAACATCCTTCGCTTGGAGAGCAGATTGTGAGGATGTCTCAGGCGGGGCGCTGGTTTCAGCACCCCTAAGGGGAGCCGCCAGGGGTGGTTGCACGGGCTCGTTCGCGGCCATTTTGTGGGGATGTCTCAGGCGGTTTGCTTGTTTCTGGGCCCAACATCCTTCGCTTGGAGAGCAGATTGTGAGGATGTCTCAGGCGGGGCGCTGGTTTCAGCACCCCTAAGGGGAGCCGCCAGGGGTGGTTGCACGGGCTCGTTCGCGGCCATTTTGTGGGGATGTCTCAGGCGGTTTGCTTGTTTCTGGGCTCAACATCCTTCGCTTGGAGAGCAGATTGTGAGGATGTCTCAGGCGGGGCGCTGGTTTCAGCACCCCTAAGGGGAGCCGCCAGGGGTGTTGCACGGGCTCGTTCGCGGCCATTTTGTGGGGATGTCTCAGGCGGTTTGCTTGTTTCTGGGCTCAACATCCTTCGCTTGGAGAGCAGATTGTGAGGATGTCTCAGGCGGGGCGCTGGTTTCAGCACCCCTAAGGGGAGCCGCCAGGGGTGTTTGCACGGGCTCGTTCGCGGCCATTTTGTGGGGATGTCTCAGGCGGTTTGCTTGTTTCTGGGCTCAACATCCTTCGCTTGGAGAGCAGATTGTGAGGATGTCTCAGGCGGGGCGCTGGTTTCAGCACCCCTAAGGGGAGCCGCCAGGGGTGTTTGCACGGGCTCGTTCGCGGCCATTTTGTGGGGATGTCTCAGGCGGTTTGCTTGTTTCTGGGCCCAACATCCTTCGCTTGGAGAGCAGATTGTGAGGATGTCTCAGGCGGGGCGCTGGTTTCAGCACCCCTAAGGGGAGCCGCCAGGGGTGGTTGCACGGGCTCGTTCGCGGCCATTTTGTGGGGATGTCTCAGGCGGTTTGCTTGTTTCTGGGCTCAACATCCTTCGCTTGGAGAGCAGATTGTGACGATGTCTCAGCGGGGCGCTGGTTGCAGCACCCCTATGGGGAGCCGCCAGGGGTGGTTGCACGGGCACGTTCGCGGCCATATTGTGGGGATGTCTCAGGCGGTTCGCTTGTTTCTGGGCTCAACAGGGAGGGAAATGACAGGAACGAGGATGAGGAGGAGGAACAGGAGGAGGAGGAGGAGGAGGCGGGGGATCGTGAGGAAGGGCATGGGGGTGCGGAGGGGGAGGGGGAGCAGGAGGATGAGGAGGAGGAGCAGGAGCAGGAGAAGGGAGGGGGCGGAGGAACAGGAGGAGGAAGAGGAGGGCGCTTTGCTCGAAGGTCCTTGACGCGAGCAGAACGTTTGTTCCGAAGTCCAGGACATATATATATATATGTATGTGTTTATGTATATGTATATATGTATATATACATATATATATAGATATGTATTCATAGGGGGTGACTGCGAGGGGGGGGGGGCGGTGGTTGTGTGCGGGGATTGTTGGAAATGCTCACCGTGGCACTATCCTCCAACATGACATGCACTTATGGCCTTGTGTGGCTAAACGATCGTCTTACATATCCCACTGCCAACTATCCTACAACATATGCACATGTGGGAAGCTCCAAAGCTACCGCGGGCTGAAAAGGGGAAGGCCTGGCAGCTGAGGAGGGGGGATGAAGAGGAAGAGACTCGCATTCAACCATACTCAAAGCTCACTCTGACTCATACGCAATCACTCGCATTAGGGGTCACTCGTCTTCGTCGGCCCGGTCGCCCACGTGGACGCGCTATTGTAGTCGACCGCTCATGAACAGACGCTCACCACGGCATGACATAAAACATGAGATGCACATATGGGGAGCTCCACGCAGTGAATAATTATTTCATTACGTCCCTGGCCCCCCCGCTGGGCCGCGCACATGCCGCCGGTCATGATTTGCACCCCCCTCTTGGCCGCTCCCGAGGGACCCTCACCGATCGCTCCTGATCGAGAGCTGCAGCAGCACGGTGGGGCCTGGGGGTCCCGCCATGATGTCGCGCGATGTTGCATGTGCTCGCGACGCCGGATTTCCTGGACGGGGGAACATGCCCGCCGGAGGCCCTTCTGGGGCCCCAGGGCCCACAGAACGTCACGCAAGACGCGAGATTCCTCCGAGTGATGAGGTCCAGAGCTTCTGGGGCCTCTGAGAGAAAATGGATCGCTTCTAGGCTTCGAGTAGGAAAACGACTACATGATTCAGTTTACCCCATTTTAGTTTCCGTCGAACCAATGACACATATTTTGAATGCTACAAATGCTATGAACATTTCGACAAACAAACCAAAATTGGGGTACATCGATTTTGCAGTGGATCTCCTGCTCGAAGGCTGAAAGGTTCACGCAGTGTCGGAGACCAGGGATCACGTCTTCAAGGCAGGACCCTGCCATTGACGCATCTGTGTGTCTCGGGTTTCTGGTATCGGCGGCGCGCCGAGGGGGGAAGTGAGGGGGCAGGCCTTCTCAGAAGGCGGCCAGGCCAGGCTTCTCAGAAACTCTTCGGCTTTTGAGAAGCCCCCTGCGGCTTCGGAGAAGGCTTAGACAGCTTCTCAGAAGGCGGGTGGTCTTCTGAGCCTTCTAAGAAGGCTCTCCCCCTCTGCCTTCCCCACTCGGTGCGCTACCGATGGTAACGATTAATTCGAGTCAACGTCAGTGGGTTCCAGCAGATTTGTTAGGCAACTTGCATCCTCCTTCGGTCGTCGTGGCCGCCGCCGACTTGTTTCGAATCGCTCTACGTTTTTCCACATGTTTTCAGGTGATCTCGGCTGCTTGCTTGTACGCCAGCCTGTTTCATTTGCTCTTGGCGGGGTCCACCTGCTAGCATTTGCTTCCGCTGGCTCCAGTTTGCTTCCTCTGCCCCCCGCCTGCTTCCACCAGCTTCCTCTCTCTCTCTCTCTCTTTCCCTCGGTAGCAATTCATGGGATCCTGGTATTTCCTCAGAATTCTGTTTTCAGCATCGATTAGCGTCGATCAGCGTCTGGGAGTAGATAAAACAGCGCTGGTCTAGCGTCGGTTAGCGTCGATTAAGCGTCAACTGGCGTCGATTCAGCATCGACTAGCGTCGATTCGCAAGAGCCGGCAAGATGGCATGGGAAGCTCCCATGAGTTGCCGCCGAACTTTCCCAGCGGCTCCACGCTGCTTCCGCGTCCTCCCCCGCCTTCGTTTCCTTTTCTCTGGCCGCTCCTCTCCAGCGTGACCTGGCCCGCTCCCGGGGCCTTC